TCCCTGTGCTTTGCTAAGCTTGTTCTAAGTGGGTGCTTTAGACCACTGAGCCATCTCTCCAGCCCTATTTTTCCCTTTTTATTAGTACCTGTTTGTAATACAAAATGAATATACTCATCATAGGGAACTGGTACAGGGACATGTCACATCTCACCCTTTTCACTTTCCCCTCTCATCTCCTCCACCCTCAGGGTCCCCTACCTGTGACCATCAATCACACCATACTCCTGCATGAACGTACATTCACCCCCGTACTTTCTCCCAGTGTGGGACAGACTCCAGGCAGTTGGGTCCAGCACTCCCACCAGGGATTCTCAGAGTGGGCAGGGCCTCATGGCCTATGCCCAAGGCACCCTGGGTTGTCACTGATACTGACCACCACTCCCCATATAGAAGGGGCTCCCAGAGTCCCAGCAGCTAAAGCTCTTAAAAGAGAAAGGGAAGGAGCAGTGAACTCTTCCCAGCTGGGACAGTGACAGCGAGGCTGTGTGGCTGAACCCACTGGGGTCTGAGTACCTGGCCCTGGAGACAGAGCAAATGGTCCTGGGAGGGCTGGGAAGGAGTGCAGGGCGGAGAGCAGGGGAGCCCTAGCCAGAGAAATCACACCTTCCACCACACCTCTACAAACATCGCTCAACTGAATGCTAACTGCTGCAGGGGCCGGCCTGCCCCCCACAACACCCCACACTAGCCTTTCTAGGGGAGCTTCGACCACCCCTCCAACTCCCACACCAGGGAGGACTCGCAGGTAGCTGGCCGGATCTCATGGGACCCCAGAACGCTGGGCAGTGGTAACTAGAGGAGCATCTCACTCCTGCTCTGGCCGGGGCAGGACTTCCCGTCAAGACGCAAAGGGCCTGATGGGAATGGGCCCTGTCTGGGCCAAGTCTGGGCTCCCTTGCTGCCAGGGATCAGGGATCCCGGCCACCAAGGGCAGGCAGCTGGACCACTGGCCCAAGCCTCTTCCCTCCCACTTCTTGTTTGAAGCTGCACTAGTGATTAGCGCACTGCACTTCCTCCTGCTGCGCGTGACCCCAGCAAGCCCAAGCTGGCAGAGGCGTCAGCCCTCCCCTAGCAACCTCAGGCCTGTTTGTCCTCTTGGACAGAAAAAAAAAAAAAAAAGAAAAAGAAAAAGCCTTGTCATGGCCAAACAATGAGGAACAGAAAGCCCCTGAGCAGAGCAGGACAAAAGGTCACTCCTGTGCTCCCCAGAGCAGAGCCTAGCAGCCAGGTCTCCAAGCCACAAGGACAGCACAAGTTGGGGGCCCCAGAGGTCCCCAAAATGTGGGACCATCTCTAAGAAGCCTGAGAGGGCTCCAGCTCCTTTGATTGGGGTGGAGATGAGCACTCCATCCACCCCGTGGGGCCTGCACCCTAAAATGAGGAAATTGACTGAGTTTATCAGCCTGGATCTTTCAAAATATAGGGCCCTATGTGAAAATCTAGAAATCAGTGAGGAGAATTAAACACCCAATTAACAGAGGGACTCCACAACACAGTAGTAAGGGAACTGGAGAAGACTGGTGGGTGGGTGGGTGGGTGGGTGGATGGGTGGGTAGGTGGAGAAGACTGGTGGGTGAGTGGGTGGATGGGTGGGTAGGTGGATGGATGGTAGGTGGGTGGGTGGGTGGATGGATGGATGGATGGTAGATGGGTGGGTGGGTGGATGGATGAATAGATGGATGGTAGATGGGTGGGTGGATGGATGGATAGATGGGTGGATGGATGGATAGATGGGTGGTAGATGGGTGGATGGATGAAGGGGTGAGTAGATAGATGAATGGATGGGTATGTGGATGAATGGGTGGATGGGTGTGTGGATGAATGGATGGGTGAGTGGATGAATGGATGGATGGATGGGTGAGTAGGTGAGTGGGTGGATGAATGGATGGGTGGGAGGGTGGATGGATGGATAGGTAGGCAGACAGATGCTAGCTAGGTAGATAGGTAAGACATAGGCAGGTAGATGACGGCAGATGATAAAGGATGACAAGGATAAAGAGATATACAGATAGATGGAAGTAGATGGATGGATGATAACAGATAACAGCAAAGAAGCAAGAAAACTGTCCCTGAATCCAACACCCAACCAGGGAGGCAGGTCCCACCATGCCCATTTCATGGATGTGAAGATGGAGATGGAGGCAAAGCCACCTCACCTGGTGTCCGAATGGCTGTGGCCACGCTGTGGCACAGGAAGTGAAGGATTTCTGTGGGCCTCCTGGAGGGCAGC